GGTGGGGCGTGGGTGCGCCGGGCGGGCGCAGAAGTGCGCACCCCGGCACCGGCACCGGGGATGTCAGGACGGTGCGCCTGGCCGGGCGCATTGTCTGCGCTTCGACCAAAAAGGCGTATGCACCGTGGTAGGAGTTTTGGCTAACGCCGTTTAGCACGACGCTTGTTGTGTAACACACGTGTGTGTGTGTAGGAACAAGCGTCAGCGGGCGGCCGATCAGCTATATCGGCTCGCCCGTCTTTTCGATTTCCCTCCCGGCCCGACCCTGGGCGATTTAAGATCGACTGGATTACATACGGCCGGCGCCCGTCCACTGGGACGGTGCCTGAGGCGGGCGCAGAAGTGCGCACCCCGGCACCGGCACCGGATGTTAGGACGGTGCGCCTGGCCGGGCGCATTGTCTGCGCTTCGACCAAAAAGGCGTATGCACCGTGGTAGGAGTTTTGGCTAACGCCGTTTAGCACGATGCTTGTTTCATTTCGGCTAGACTGACTTTCCTTTTGTGAAGGCCATCAGTGCGATGGTCTCGCGCAGCTACAACGGGATGAAGGAAGCTTTGCAGCTTCTTGGACTTCCGGACTGCTGGGAGCAGAGTGATTTACGGGTCTGGGTCGATACTTGTTTTGCCGGTGCACACTGGCTGCCAGGACTATCCGCTGAGTTTCGTGCCAGGTAGGGAACTGAAACTTTGTGGACATCACCTGCGCGAGGCTCCAGCCGTTCGCATGTTGAAGCTGCTGTCGACAAGATGTCGCGCCAGCTCTGGGTCGTTAGAAGGAGATCAACGAGATGATTCACCATTGGATGACAGATGAAAAGGACGGATTGCATGAGGTTGTCCTCGCCTCAATCTTCGGTACTGCAGTAGCAGTGCCGGCATCCGAAGGATGATTTCTACAGCGCCCTGACGAAGATAAAGGGCATCGTGGCAAAGCCAATCTTGACCGAGGAGGAGCTGGACCTGTTGGACAGCAAGGCGGGCTATGCACCGAATTGGGTTGGCTCTGATGAGAGCTTTGAAATCGCAGGAACAAGACTCTCGGCAAGTTTTGCAATGTTTCGCCAGCGGCAGTAGCAGAAGTAGTTCTGTCAGCTGCAGAAGCGCGGTCTTCGCACAAGTCACGCAGTCACGGATGATGTCAAGCCGACTTTAATCGTAATCTTGTTCACATAATGCGATGAGACAGCGCACGGATTTTCTGTGACTCTGTTGTTGTACGACTAAACTAGCACGGGATACTGAGACAGATCAACTTTCAGGCCAATTGATTTTGCTCGAAATTGGCAAAACACCCGCAGATAACCAACCCTTTGAGCAGGTGCAGATGAAGATTATTGAACATTGCAGTTTCTGCACCCATCTTCCAGAGCATTCACCCAAAGTGCAGTCGCTTCGTAAAATAGCATGTAGAGCCGAATCAGGCGTCAGCCTCCGCCCACAACGCGCAGGAAGAATGGCAGAAGACGCTGGGCCCAGACGGTGATGTGATGTTCACGCGAAGGCTGTCCGACAGCCCACGCTGTGCCCTTGATGAAGTATGGTGCATTTGGCCGTGTGTGCTCAGGCAGGACGGACCAAAGCCACCTGTAGAGGCCTTACCGTCCTCATGACCCGAGAGTTTGAGAGAGCGTGTTGTGCGAGGATGATGACGACGACGATGAGGTCATTGATGTAAATCCAGGACAGGGAATCCTGCATGGCCAGTGCATTGAATGCGATGCTGTGCCACTTGCAGATGGCACGCGCATGCGATCTGCCGAAGCACCAGGCTGGGTCCCGTTTCCATTGTACCGCTGCGCTCTTGTTGGAGCCTTTTGTGGATCTCAAGATAGTTTGTTTGAGGCGTGGCAGCCAGGCACGTCGATGTTTCCGTCGCTTTCGGAGTCGAACGAGGTAGTTCAAGACAGGACTACTCATGTTCAGGAATGCGACAGGGCACAAAGCCACCGGTGAGGCCATGTGGAACCAAGTGATCCAACTGCTGCGCATTTTACGAGATTGTCAGCAGTGCCTTTCTTCTTCGACAGGGTCTTGATGACTCTATGTGAAACCTCCTCGCATTTGTATGAATTTGTCATGCGTATTGTCAGCCAGGATTACTACACACTTCTCGGAGTGAGCCCAACATCTTCTCTTCAAGAGGCAGGTGGTGGTCCTGTGTGGTCGGACTATATCGGCAGTGTGTGCGGCCAGATCCGAACCAGATTCCGCGCACTTGTCCGTCACTCAAGACAGAAATCTGTGTTGCTTTTGCGCACAGAGCACGGCATGTTCAACATGCAGGCAGCGTCGGATTGGTAAACAACGGCAGGCTATTCTCACCACGTGGCATGACGAAATGAAGGTCTAAGGTACTGGATGCAAAGGCCAGCATTTGAGGGCATCCCATACATGAATGTCGATCATTGACTTAGATAGCCAATGCACGAAGTCTAATTGTTGCTGGCCTTACAGGTGGCGTCTATCTTGGAAAGGTTGAACTTTTTTGGGCCGGTTTGGACCGAGTTAACGAACAAATACCGGCTCTAAGTCTGGCCTGTACAGATTAGTATGTGGGCGGTGGGAAGAAAGCTTTCATGAGCGGAAGAATGTGTCGAGGTTGAGGGCGCGAGGGGTGTTGCGATGAGGGGGTAGTATAATTCATGGAGGACTACGGCGACGATCTCGACGACGAACGCTAGCCACCACCACCACAACAGCAACAACCACCGCCACCACCACCACCAACAACAACAACTGCTACCACCACCACCACCACCATCACCACCACCACAACCACCACCACCACCACCACCACCAGCACCACCACCACCACCACCACCACCACCACCACCACCACCACAGCCACCACTACCACTACCACTACCACTACTACTACCACTACCACTACCACTACCACTGCCACTGCCACTACCACTACCACTACCACTACCACTACCACTACCACGACCACTACTACTACTTTACTACCATTACTCCTGGTGCCCAACTCCGCGTGCCGTACCACTCAAGGAAGCTTGGCCGTATTGTTTTGGTTTGTTCGAGGATACCTGTCGAATCTATTCAGGTTCGAAAGACTTGTTGGGGAGGGGTGGCTCCGATAATCAGACTGCCCCATTCGCTGGTCGGCGAGACCCCGCCGACCTATGGAAGCTATTGCAAGACAGAGCGTCTCAATGTCATGTCAAAACCCTGCGCAAATCCAGTCCTGCAAGACTGTGAGCGAAGGTCCTGACGGCACATCCTGAGAAGGGTGGTGATCCTGAGACGTTCCACAAACTCAACAAGGCCGTCTGCTTTTGCAGATCAACCAATCTCAAATCGATGCCTGTAATCGCCCGCGCCCAAAGTACCATGCATGCTGCAGGCATACAGTGTTCTGAGCGATCCAGCCAAGCGGAAGGAATATGACGCTGAACGCTAGCCCAAGCTACTTGAAATTAGTGGCTCTTGCTTGCCTCTACCTCTTCCACCTCGGGGGTTGTACGCAGCGGTCAACAGAAAAGGAGTTGTGTCAAGTTTGGGCCTCCAGCAAGGCTTTGCCTCTTGGTCGGTTCAAAATCGCGGACGCTGCCGCACCGCTTTGTGGCTCAAGCATCGGTTCCAATGACAGGCTGGCACATCGGCCGACACGAAGGCCAATGCTAAGCCGCTAAGCCAAGAGAGTACCAAAAGAGTTATCTGCAAGATAAGAAGCGCAAGAGCAAGAAAGTGTGAAAAAGGGAGGGGGAGAGACAGAGAGAGAGAGAGAGAGGTGTAGGGGGAAACCCTGCACCACAGCCCTGGCGAAAGAAAGAGTGACAGGCTGCATCGGGGGAATGCATGTGTCCTTCGGAATGACACTTTAAGCTTTTAACTATATGTTCAAGTTTCATGACCTTCCGTTTTAGCCCATGAATCATTCTAGAGCTCTCACACCCTCCCAAAGGCCTGCATAGAAGGGGGCGGGCTTAATGCCCGGGGGACTCGACACGCCCCTTAAGCCTGGGAGAAGGGGAGAGAGAGAGAGAGAGACAGAGAACATCGGCCTCATCAGATCGCAAGACCGACCCGGACTATCGAACCAGGGCTCGTGCGCGCGCGGGAAGGCCCGTCCTTCTTTGGCTGTGCGGAGGAAGAGAGAGAGAGAGAGAGAGAGAGAGAGAGCGTGGTACGTAAGGGGGACTCCGGAGCACTTTCTCACACCTGGTCCGTGTGCCACAAACACTGGGGGGCCCATGCGGCCAGGGAGCCTGACACGCTCCTTTGCCCCTGTGGAAGAAGAAGAGAGAGGAAGAGAGAGAGAGAGAGAGTAGCCTAGGCGAAAGAAAGGGAAAGAGAAAGAGAGAGAGAGAGAGAGAGCGAGTGAGGGCAGGGTTCTGCCTTTCCGTGGCTGTGCCGAAGAAGAAGAGAGAGCGAGTGAGAGTGAAAGAGTGTGCCTGGCTCCGCTAGCATTCAGGCAGGCATGGTCGGGTGGGGTCATGCGAGCGGATCCGGGCACAGTGCGGATGCCTCGTTGGGTGGAGTAGAATGGGCACAGCGCAGGGCAGACGTGAGTAGGCGGCAGAAAGACGGGTTGTAGTGGGACACCTACCGGCATCAGCTGGCACAGCTGTTCAAGCCAAGAGTTAGAGTCTTAGCAAAAGGAGAGGAGACAGTGGCAGCGCGGCCGAGTGACAGAGCGACTCGAAGGAAATGATCGATGATGGTGCCGATCTTCTCGATCCATTCTCTTCCGCCGAAAATGCTGCCGACCTTGTGCTCGATCAGGTGAGCAGCTTTTAGCTTTTTGCTGTCAGTGTCAGTTCCCGCCAGTTTGTGAACCTGTGTCATGAGAGTTTTCGTGTCACTTTCTGCATTTGTCGCATTCTTGGGCAGCACATGCCACTTACCTGCAGGTCTTGCAGGAGGGTGGCACACTGCTGTATGAGAGTTACATCGCCCGGAAATCATTCGCGTTCGCGGCTGCGGCTGCCTGCGAGGCCAGGCTTACTGTGTGCGGTACAGCCATGCAATGATTGAGCATTGGACGGACGGTCTGCGGAAAACACATTCCAGTTAGCAGCATGCAGGGTAATCGCCATGTCAAAAGGTTCTCGTGGGTGAGATGAAGATGCAATTCGTCAGTCTGGCTCCGAGATTCGGTCTTGCACTGTCGCTTGTGGAAATGGCATTCCGACCACGATTATGTTCAGGTTATGATAGCGGCGAGGGCCAGCAGCTGCAGAGCTCCAGGATTCTTTGCGCAAGCGTTGAGTGGCACTTCTCTGCACACTCGGTTTCACTGAGGGTGAAACACCTGGTCTCATGCCGACCAGCCACTGGCAGCAAAGCTGATATTCGACGAGATGCAGAGGCAGGAGGGTCAGATACGGCCCTTTCACGCTGTTCGTGCTTGTCTAGAGCATGTCTTGAAGGACGATGTCTCGGGTGCACGAGGTGCAGCTTTAGACTCTGACAAGCACGCCTCCACTATCAGCATTGCCAGGCGCTGTCGAAGCGGTGCCACGTCCAGGGTCCGCACCAGCAAGCACCAACGGGAGGCCTGAGCACGAGCTGCCAGCAGAATACTCGCAGGAACAGAATCGTGATTTTGGCATGTGTACCTGTCTGAAGGCTTGATTCGGCTGCGACGGCCTCGCAGATGGCCAGCAGCGGCCCCTGATGCTTGCAAGCAAAGTCCTGTTATAGTCTTAGGTTGAAATTTCAGCATCAACTGCGACATGTGTTGCCCAGATATTCCGGCAACTCTCGCAGACAAGCACCGGCCTCAACATGCCACTATGCGTTCTACTTGTGCTACAAGATTCTATGAACACTACAGGGAAGGCAAGCAATGTACGGAGAGGTTTTCGGGCACAATGCGGAGCTAATTGTTGCCCAGACAAGTCACCACATGACCCTTAAAGCCTATTCATGGTGGCAACTGTTCTTTGTTTTGTTTGACTCGCTTTCGTAGTCGGTGTTGGTTGTTGTTTCAGCGAACTGTTGCGGAATGACTAGGTGCAGTGGAGCCCGTGCTGCGTTATTGTAGCTAGGAAAGTAGCTCCAGAGAGGATGCAGGTTGATGTTTTGTGGGTGGTCATGGTTTTAGCGAGTGCCTGGGCCTGCGATTCCTGCATGTTCTCTGGCGGACGGAAGTATGAGGAGCCTTGCCTGCTTGTGCGAGAGTGAGAGTCGAAAGTCTATTCCGACCGGGCTGGAGTATCACCAGAAAATTCAGGTTCCGCAGGTTGTGACTAATGGGGCAGTACTGTAGTTCATGTAGCCGGGACATAGGCAGCACCGTGCCCGTTTTGGAGATTGAAAGTCTTTGTATGTGCGCCGGGCATGGCAGGCTGTAGTTGCTGGCAGGGTTAAAGCCCATGTCTCCTTACATTTTGTCGAGTTTCCATGCCGACGACTAGCACGACCATGACGACTACTACCAACCCTAGCTAATGCCAATTGACTGTTAGAGATAACGTACAGTTCTGCCGTTGAGTGTCTTGAACCGTGGCTAAAACTCGGCTCAAGCTCTCTTTCTGTTGCGGCTGGGTTCTACCATATCGGAGCGAGAGAACCGAATGCTGTCAATGCGGGTGCCGGCTATCTTCTCGTCTTGTTGACGGTTGTGGACAGCTGGCCCCCCAAACGGCTTTACGCAGCGATGCGGGATGCAGTGGTTTCGCCATCGACGTCGATGTCGGCTGGTTCTGCTTCGGGGACTATCCGAGCACCCTCGCTGGTGCTTCTGGTGTGGGTGATGCACAGCTGTGAACGCTGGTCGTGCTGGTGTTGTCGAGCCTGCAAGTGGCGTGCGAGAACACGAAAAGCTTGTCCGGCTCCAGAGGTCGATCTCGCTGCTGCGCGAGTGGTGACGGGGTACCCCGGCTGCCTCTACCAGAAGGAGATCAGAGGACGCGGGAATGGCCGCCAGCCTCACGACCTCATCCTCAGGCTGGAGTCGGGACGCCTGTCACTTAGTTCGGTTTTTATGGAGCCCAAAGGAAACTCGCACTCACCATCAGAGCGCCAAAAATTAAGGTAGTCTGGAGGCCGAACTGAGCATTCCCTTTCAGAGATCCTTGCAGAAATTTCCACCACGAAGTGTACCAGCACAAGTCTGCCGCATCGCGCAGCTGGTCTCTTCTTCTCCAACAGTGCAAATCCACATCCCTGGAGGCCTTGGTGGAGGCAGCAGCGAACAAGCCATTGCAACGTCGCCTCGTTTCAAAATGCAACTCCGTGCAACAAATCTGCATATTCCGACCAAAGGGACCAGACAGAAAGATTTATCTTCACACTTCGGACGTTCCTGCTGCATTTCCTGAGGGGGACCGGCATGAAAAGCAAGCAGCAAAACATTGCCAAAACCATGTGTGCAACCAAAATTAAAGCAGTCGGAAAGTCCATGGCACCGTTGCTCGGTCCACGTATCACGTCTGCGCAATGGACTCCCGCAAGGACGAAGTTTACAAGACTTCGGCAACGACCGTCGTCGCCTGTGGGTCGTTCCGGTCTTTGAGTGAAGCCGTTTAAGGTTTTGGGAGTTACCTCCCATAGGACCAGAGACGAGCTGGAAAAGATTGACCGGGTCTTTCGCAGCTTGCGATGCCGAAGCTCTGGTCGATCTCGGGGCCTACGCGCAGCTCCCTGGTTGGCGCATGCAGCTTCTATGGGGCAGAGGATGCTTTGCCGGGAAGGGATGCATCCTACCCGTAAGTCATCGACGGCGCCCCGCCAGATCGAAGAGCAAGGAGATCTGAGGACCTTGGCTCCCGATTCTGATCTGAAGCTGAAGTCTCGCCTGGCCCTTGTGAAGCTGTCTCGATAGGGGCTTGAGTTGCAAGGTAAGATTCATGCCTTAGCCCCTATGGTTGTGAAGATCGAGCGCTGCCTCTACGCCTCTACGCGCGCCATGACAAGGACTACCGTGTGCTTCAGTTGTTTGCACCGGAGTACATGGTTGGGAAGCGCGTCTTCGTCTTTCGAGCTGTCCCACAAGTGACAGCTCGAGTTAGATGCAGTGTTAGGGCGTTCCGCCGTCACTTCTGTGGGAGTTGTCGTGATTCATCGGGGCCACATGCGTGCTTCGGCCATCTCCAACACGGCACGTTGCAGCTTCTACAGATTGCCTCGGGGGCTGACCGATGCGTGTGCGAGCTCGACGTCGAGGGATGCGGTAAGTATCTCGAGGACCGCGATAAGAAAGGGGATGGGAACCCCGCTACACGTGCCGGGCTCGGCGCTGACCCCTGCGAGGCCGGGACCCCACTTCAGTCAAGGTCGTGGTTCGCTCAGGGGGGTTCATGTCCAGGAGGTGTTCGCAGGCTCAGGTCCCGGCGGGGCACGCCCCCGAAGTTGTGCAGGTTGCACGAGTGGCATCAGATTTTGTTTCTTCAGCCAGACTAGCAACAACAACAACAACAACCCCGTTTCTGGGATAAGGGCATGGATTGCGAGCGGGGAAGGGGCTTCATGAGTCAGTCATTTCGAACATTGCATGTTCCGTGGCCATCTTGGTTTCAGAACCGGATTCAAGTTTTGTTCTCCCAGCCTACCCATTCGATTTTCCTGTGTTTTCAGTCTGCGAGAACCGATCGGGAAACGGTCCGTCTTCTAAATCTCGAAAGAAACATGTCTGTAAGAAGTGCGACTCCAATACTGCTACTTCTCAGCATCATGTTTTCTACTGTTCTGCAGCCGCTTGGCGCTCCAGTTGGCTACGGCATTTGTATGGCCTTGCGGCAACTGCGACGTGGCCACCCAGGCCAAATTTCAGTTTATCTTAATTGCTAAGGCGTCCTATCAAGTGGCAGTCTTTCCTTTGGGTCGCGTGTCCGCCTTCAGTGCTGGAGCAACGGTGCTCCATCTGCATCTTGCGCACGGCTTGGGTCGAAGGTCGCGAGGACGACCCTTGAGCCCAACAGTAAAAAAAAAATAGAGAGCGAGAGCGAGAGAGCAAGAGTGAGAACGACTGACGCAGGAGTCGCAATACAAATTAATGGTGTAAGCTGTAGCCTGACTGGCACTGCATGCATCTGCATGCTCAAGGAAAAGTGATCGTCCTGGAATCAGCGAAGAGGTGCGCGACCTGCTCCCCCATTCCCGAAACTAACTTAGATGCAATTGCTGCCAGGTGTATGATGCATGCGCGTGCTTGTGACAGAACCTGGGAAGTGTTTCCTCGCTAAGGATTGGTCAGGAATTTGCAGGTTATTCGGCAGCAAAGCATTCACATGTTACGTGCCATATTCTTGTTGAAGTGTTTAAACTTCTGCTGTAGCAGAAACTGTCGGCAGAACAGGGAAACTGAAACATTCGACCCTTGTGAACTGCATGGGACTTGCCAACACCAAAACACCGATCCAGTAATCCAACTTGGGTACCGAACCCATTACTGAAGTCAAACTATGTCTCCAGATCCCCTCCCAAGTATGGTCAGTCATCTCATCCAGCCTCGCATGTCTTAAAGTCCTAAAGCTGTATTTGACTATTTGTGCCGTCAAAGGTGACAGTCATTACCGGCCCTTTGTTTTGCCAGCAGTCAAGGGGGAATACAAAAGAAGAATGTGTTACTTTTTGCGTTTAAGACAGGTTTAGGTTTAGGCAACCCCGACTTTAGTGCGAGGGGAGGGTTTCACTCGCATCGAGGGGAGGAAATACACATCTCACAGCGTCCAAACTGGGGTTAAGCATTTCGCGGCCAGGCCTGGCATACATCCAAGCATCACCGTGTCAGCGTCCACACAGGGATTAAGCATTCCGGAGCCAGGCTTGGCATGCATCCAATTTCAGCGTTCACACTGGAGTGGGAGAGGTATCGTCCAGGACACCAATAAAAGATCGAAACTTCTAACCTCGACCCGCAGGATTGCGGGGTCTGAGCCGCTGATGCCCTTTGACAAGGTGCATCGGATGCGCCAGAACCCCTGTAGGTGTATCGGACGCCAGCCCTTTAGGAAGTTGTATCTGAGCCCCAAAACCCTTTCACAAGAGGTATCGGAGCAGCCAAAAACCCGTTAAGCAGAGGTGTCGGTATCACTCTTCAATGGCTTGCGTTGAGCCGGGGAAAGGGACGAAGGACCTGACCTTTGTAACACTTTCGGCGACGGTGTCTACTTGCGGAACTGAGGAACAGATTGTCTGGAGTTTTGCAACCACTTCGGCGGCAGTGGTTACTTTCTGAACGGACAAATCGTGCACCTGTGCTGGGAGCGGCGACGGCGTTTACTTGTGGAACTGACGAAAAGGCTGCCTGGAATTTATGTGCGTTGCAACATGTTGTGACAATCTTGCTGGAGGTGTCTGCTTGCGGAACGGATAAATCGCCTGCGTGTCCTATGTGCTTTGTAACACCTTCTGCGACGGCGTCTACTTGCGGAACTGACGAGTAGGCTCTGGAATATGAGGAAGACATGATCCTGATCTTGGCAGCTCACCGTCACAGAACTCGTGCGCCCACTGTTTCTGACACCGGTAAGAGAGCCGGCACTATCTTACAGAGCTCTTACAGAGCAGGGCAGCCCATATGGGCGAGGCGTGAAGATGCACGACGATGCGACGGCGTGGACGAAGGGCTTGAGGATTAACCTTGAGGTTTTCAAGGAGTCCAAGCTTCGAAACCTGCAGGTCTGACTGGTGCATCTGGTGCCAACTCCGAATCTTGATGTTGCACAGGCGCTGCGAGACGGATGGTGCCTCGAGTCCGAGCCTTCCAGGTGCCTTTCTAGGTTCGAGTCCTGCTAACCGATGTATATAATACCTTCTGGGCAGGTGTCGGATTGACACTTGGGCTTCGCCGCCTTGTTTAGACACTTGTTTCTGAACATGTACCTGTGAGTTAGTGTTTTGAGACTTCGGTCGACCCCAGTGGCCGGAATCAAGACGACCTTGCATCTTTCAGCTGCGGTGCTAGGGCTGAGTGGCTGCGAGAGCCTGCGCGTGAACATCAGAATGGGATTGCGGACAGGCCCCGCCGAGGAAGTTTTGCCTTCTCGGAAAAAAGAAGCCGGGAAATGCGGAAAGCACACACAAGCATGTTAAATCAAGTCCTAGCCGAGTTGCGCTGCACAACCACACAACTCCTTTCTGAGCATGTTTGAGCACAGGGCATGTAGTAGACAAAGGGATTCATGGAGAAGAGTGCGAAAAGTGACGGTCAGAAACAAGTCTTTGAACGTGTGCTCTGACTTGTCTTTTTGTCAACGTTTTGTCAGCTGAGCAAAATTAAATGCCTGTTTATGAACCTGTTCTCGCCAGTCTCTGTCTACACTGGCAGCATGACAAACATCGCGGAACCTCGAGCGGGTACGGGCATGCGGTCGAGCGCCAGGGAGATCTGAGCCATCACGGAAAAGGGGCGGGAGCTTGGTTTGCAACCCTCGAACCTCACCCGGCCCATCCCGGCTCTCAGCACCCATCCCTTCCTGTTTGTCTATCTCCTCCGTCTGTGCCAGGCCAGGGCCTGTGTGCCAGTGCGCAAAACAAGCCGACAAAAGATGGTCGAATCCCTAAACCTGGATCTGCTGGAGCGTGGTCAGCATGAAGCGCGACACGACATCACCTGCTGGTGAGGTTGGCCACAACGATTCATCCCGCAAGGGGCATGCCGCAAGCTCAGCCTTTTGCTTGGCACTCATTGAATCTCGGACCACTACAGCCTTTCACGCCATTCCTGATGCACTGCCTATAGGCATCGAATGGATCTGCTTGACACTTAGCTGTGCTTCTTCTTCTGGCACCTCCTGCTGTGTGCACGGGCCCTTCAGCAGGTGCTGAGCGCATGTGGCATTCCTAGGTTTCAGTTCCTAGTAGTCGATCGCCATCCCGCTTTGGTGCCCACCCGGTGGTAGAGGGAGCCGAGGCGAATGGCCAGAGGGTGGATTCCGTGTCTTCCGAGCAACTGGCAGGGGCTGAAAGCAGCAAGGAACCAAATGATTCCACTCATCGACGAGCGCGAGGCCGTCGGATGTCGTCGGTTTTCTTCCAGGCATCGGTCGACCTTGGCAGTCTGCAGGAGGACGCGGAGGAGATGATGCTGAGGGACCTCAAAGAGAGAGAGGACAGCCTGCGCAGAACACTTCTTTCACGGGCCTGACAAGCATGACAGCTGCAGGCTCCAGTGTTCAGACAATGGTGTTTCAGTTTGCCTGCGTGTGTGTGTGTGTGTGTGTGTTTGCGTGTATGTGTGTGTGTGTGTGTNNGTGTGTGTGTGTGTGTAAGCATCTGTACATGCTGTACGAAGCACTCGGTTCGGCATGCGATTGGCAGAACAAGTTGCGCAGGGGGTGCTAGTAATACAACAGTGCTGGCACCAACGCGGAGATCTTACTGATGGGTTTGCGGATGCACAGCCCAGGCCTGCCAAGTGCAGACGATGAGTGATATTGCCATTGCAAAGCGATTGCAGACATGCGATCTTAGCATCAGCCCTTATGACCTGGACTTTGATTTGCTCCTGCACTCTGACACTCTGACACGCTCTTTTTTCTTGTGTAGTTCACGTGGTAGAACCAACAGCGACACAGTGGTAGACAGGTGGACATTCAACGAAATTCAACGCACAATGGTCTTGCTAAGTTCTAATCGATTCTATCTGCTCTTCATCGCTGACAGTTTTGACATCTTGTGATACATGGACACGGGATGGGATGGCTCATGATGGCTCGTTGCTGCTTCCAGCCCGAACTCGTCGACCAAACACACAAGTGCGCACGCACTCGCCGCGCGTGAGGGAGAGAGAGAGAGAGAGA